GGGATTAATGGTAGTAAATATCTGTCTGGGGATGGGGAGACACCTCTTATCAACAAGGGCAACTGAACGAAGCATATTTGTATATCTAACCCTTAACTGTACCCCACAATATCATAATAAAAAATATTGATTATAAAAAAATAATAGGATATTAGAATTGAAATGATAGAATATATAAATAAAATAAAGCATTAAAAAATCTAGGGATTTATACAAAACAACTTTAGATGCCACAGAAATAAAAACATGTATTGTTAAATATATATAGAGAGAGGTCACTTGTGGAAGGATGACATTTGGAGAAGATGCTGCTGATTTTGGCCAAGAGACCTGGGTTAAAGTTCCAACTGTTGATCAACTCTGAGACTTGCAAAGGTTACTTAATCTTCATAAAGCTTTGCTTTTTAATTATATATATGGGAGCAATACTTGTAACTTGTAGCAAATTGTTGTGTAAAAATTAACCATAGGATAATACACATGAAAGTGCATTTATTATTTTCATCTCTTCATTCAGCAATTACCCCTTGCTCATATTCACTATGTGCCAGGTACTGCCTGGTGCTACAGAGATGGAGGTAAAGAAGACAGCTGTTGTTTTTGCCCCACAGAGTGTATAGATAACTGAACTTCACAGAAAACTGTACCATGTTATGTAATTGCAAGAGAGCAAGTGACTGTTTTATTTAGGACATTTAGAAAAACCTGATGAAATAATGGCACTTAGGTTAGGCCTTAAAGAAAGGTAGAGTTTTGACAGACAATATGGGTGGGGGGCGTTGGACTCTAGGCAAGAAATGGTGTGAGCAAAGAGAAAGTGAAGGGAATAGATTGGATAAAATGTGTAGTCCAGTGAGGATGGGAAAGTCAGGGCAGGAAATGGCTTGAGCTTGACCTTGCCTTCTTCCTGGTCCCCCAAGCTCTAAGCTCTTTAACTGCTCATTTGCGAAGTGGAGCTGAGAGGAGGGTGATAAGCCAGAAGGGAGCCAATCACTAGCTGCTTTATATAGATTGAAATTATAGTGGGGTAATATTAATAGAGAGTAAGGGAGGCTAGGTAGGCAAGTGTGTCAATTTGGGAAGGACTAAACTCAGGGAGAGCTTGGTTGGGGCCTTTTCTCAGTTCTCATTCTCCTAGAGCTCTTTGTAGAACTTAACATTCATCTCCCTTTGTCTTAAAAGTCTGTGCCATTTCGAATTTTGAGGGGAGAAAGCTAAATTCTGTTTTGGATAAGTCGAATTTGAAGCACTTCAAGTTGAAGGTGGCCTGCTGGTAGGCAGAATTAACCACACATTTAGTAGCTTCAAGACAGTAGCAAACCTAGTGGGACTTCTCTTCATTTCTCCCCTTCTCACCAGAGTTTTTGATACTGGGAAGGCAAGGTCCCAAACCCACAGAAGACTTTTATTTGGACGGGTCTGAACTTCAATAGTGATTGAACAATCCTCAGAGCTGATGATAGACTATCAATACACTTCTCAGAAATACCGTGATAGTCTTTCTGCTGCAGTGTAAGGTGAATTATTAATTCAGCTACTTTTCAAGGAAACACTTATCAGGCATCAACCATATGACAGATATTAGGTGCTGGGAATACAAGAGGTATCAGAAACCACTCCTGACCTTAAGTTGCCTGTGGTCTAGAAGGATAGACAAATGTTTTCAGCTGTGGTCTGATGTGATAAGCACTGAACAAATCATAAGAACAGAGTATGATGGAGAGCCTGAGAGGGAGCAGGGTGGCTGCCCAGTTGACACCCTTATCCCCTTCAAGTTGTTGCTCAAATGTCCTCATCTCACTGAAGACCACTCTGATTCCTATTCCAAAAAAAGCAGCATCTGCTACTTCAGCACTTTTGAGTTCTCTCACCCTGTTCTATGGTTTTACTTTTTCCATTGCATTTATCGCCCTCTGTCTCAGTTGACTGTTACTGAATAGCAAACCATCCCCAAACTTACTTGCTTAAAATGATTTCTTCTCTCTCACCATTCTGTTGGTTGACTGGACTTGGCTGAGTAGTTCTTGCCTGGGTCTCCTACAGTTGCAGTCACACATAGTCTAGGACTGCAGTCTTCCTAAGGCTTGACTGAGCAGGACGTTTAAGAGTCCTCCTACATGGCTAGCCATTGAGGATGGCTTTTAGCTTGGAGCTCAGCTTGGGCTGTGCTCTACAACATCTTCATATGGCCACTCTATGTGACTTGGGCTTCTCACAGTATGGCAACCGGGTTCTAAGAGGGAGTGTTCCAAGGGGCAGGAAGCAGAGGTGCTGGGCCAATGGAAAGCTATACTTGGAATTGGAACAGCATCACTTCTGTACTCATTGGCCCTAGACCTGCCAAGATTTACTTTTGATTGGGCAATGGCAAGGTCACATTGAAGAAGCGCATGTGGATTAGAAGATATAGTTGTAGCCATTGTTGGGAAATTCATTCTGCTGTACTTTCTAACTTAATATAAAATTTTTTATTTTTATGTCTATTTGTTGTTGACTCTTGCCAGAATATAAGCCCCATGAAAGCAGGAATATCCACTGATGTATAGCAAGCACAACTAGAACCACACTTGACATATAAGTGCACAGTGAATATTTGTTAAGTGTAACATGAATGGTGTCTGAGCCTCTGTGTTCAGGTTGTTTCTGTCCTGGGGATGTGGGTTTTAATTCTACTCCTGATTTGCATTCCTTTCTATCTCTTCTAATGACTGTAATAATCCATAAGAGTAGGTATCATGCCTCTAACTGTTGTATTCTCAGTACCTGGTGAGTAGTTGATGCTCACTAATTATATGTTAAATGAATGAGATGAGAACATATTTGAGCTGGGATCTGAAAGATAATTGGGATTTTGCCAAGAGGAGAAGGAGGGCTAGGGCACAAAGGCAGAAGGAAACACCTTGTGCCAAAAGGGAAGGATAAATAAGACTGTAATGAAACTAATGGTGAGCCCCTTGAAGGTTGGGTGCCACTTAATTTGACCTCTAATTTATTTCTCATAGTACAAAACTAGTGATTCCTTTAGTCATATATTCAGTATGTGCTTGTTGAATAAATGGCTGTCAAAAGAGAGTGTAATAGATGAACTTGTGTATGGCATTTTTGGAGGGGAAGGGACTAGGTTAGATAAACTCAATCAGAACTCTTTCAAATTAAGAGGATCTTTTAAATACAAACCTAGAAACATTTTGTTAAGTATTAAAAATAGTAAAATCTTATATTTTTAAGCATAGCAAAAGCTAGTTTAATTTATGTATGTCAAATAACTTTCAATCAGAGTAAAATCATTTATATTCTTATGTTGTCCACCGTTTTCCAAAGCAGCTGTGTCATGTTACATTCCCATCAGCTGTATCTGATGGTTCTAATTTCTTCACATTTTCACCAACACTTATTGATCTGACTTTCTGAACACTATCCTAGTGGGTGTGAACTCATATAGGTTTTGAAAGATCTGAGGAAGGAATTTTTCCTTTCCAACATTTTTCTAATATGTGCATTTTGGAGATGTTTCCTTTTTATTTTATTTATTTATTTATTTATTTATTTGAGTTGGAGTCTCACTCTGTTGCCCAGTGGAGTGCAGTGGCACGCTCACTGACAACCCAGCGTTGACCTGCTGGGCTCTGGTGATCCTTCCGCCTCAGCCTTCCAAGTAGCGGGAACTACAGGCGCGCCCCACCACACCGGGCTAAGTTTTATGATTTATTGTAGAGACAAGGTCTTACCAAGTTGCCCAGGCTGTTCTCAAACCTGTGAGTTCAGGCAGTTCCCTCACCTCGGCCTCCCAAAGTGCTGGGATTACAGGCTTGAGCCACCGCGCCCAGCCGAAACATTTTCTTAAATAAAGCCCATGTGTGATACTTCTGTAAAATGCGTGAGTTGACGGGAGAAGGGGGTGGGTGGAGAAGCAGGGCAGGTGGCATAGCTCGTTTGTCTCCCACAAAGGACCGCCCCACCTTTCAGTGTGTCTGACCCGCCCCTTTGCCTTTCAGGAGGACTGGCGTTGGCCCAGGTGCTCTTTTTCTACGTGAAGTACTTGGTGCTCTTTGGCGTCCCTGTTCTGCTCATGCGCCTGGATGGACTCAACCCACCGCCCCTTCCGCGCTGCGTGAGCACCATGTTCAGTTTCACTGGGATGTGGAGGTCAGATGCTTGGCTTGTTAAAGTCCACCAGGGGTGTCCAGTGGGAGGGGCCATGACTGGGCTCGTTTCAAAGGGTTCGGGCTATCATCCCTCTCCCTGTCCCTTGCTTAACCTGCATTTGGCACCTCGATTTCTTCAATCCAACTAACAGAATGACAACCCATGCTTTCTGAGCCTTTCAAAAGTTTTATCAGGCTAGAAGATAGATGAAATAAAGTTTCTCTCCAAGTCTGTGTACCAATGCACGTAAGGTATGTTTGAAATGGTTTCTTACTAACTTGGGAAATGCTAGCATATACCGATTATTGCTGTTTTTCTTGAAAATGACACCTGTAGCTGGGGTCGGTGGCTCAGCCTGTAATCCCGCGCCTTGGGAGGCTGAGGTGAGTGGATTGCCTGAGCCCGCGGGTTCGAGACCCGCCTGGGCAACTTGGCGAGCCCTCATCTCTACGGTAAATCAAAAAATTAGCCGGGCGTAGTAGCGCGCGCCTGCAGTTCCAGCTACTTGGAAGGCTGAGGTGGAAGGATCGCCGGAGTCCAGCGGGTCGAGGCTGCGGTGGCCGGGAGCGGCCACTGCACTCCAGTCTGGGCGACAGAGTGGGACTCCAACTCAAAAAAAAAAAGAAAAGAAAATGACACCTGTATATGTGAGGCTGGTGATTTAGAAAAATAGGCTCAGGATAATAGCATAGACTACTGTTGCTGTTTACTACTTCTCAGATCTTGGTCAATGTATGAAATCTAGGTTTTGATATTCTTATCTCTTAAACAGTAGTAAAAATAATACCTATCTGCAAGGCTTGTTTTAATGATAATACCTATCTCCAAGGCTTGTTCTGAACATTAAGCAACCTAATGCATTATGAGGGGGCACCCCCAAAACCTGGAATTATCTTTTAGCGGGTAGATCCCTTATAATACAGATTTCCCCTGCTACATAAGTTTTCGAGGAACCCATTGTTCTGAGCAGCTGCTTTTGGCTTTAGTGATTTTCTTTGGTTTTATTTTATTTTATTTTTTGCAATTCTTTCAATGTGTTTGCCCATTTGATGATGGGTGATTTACGAATAGTTAACCCACACCACACTGCGTGTTCAGCAGTTTTTGACCAAAAAAAGCTTGACCCCCATGTCCCACCTTTCCTGTTCACCCAATCTCACCCTAAGTAAGTTTTTGTGTTTCTTCAAAGGGAAATGTTTTACTAATTTGAAAGTGGTGAAACAGAAAACGGCAGAAGCACTAAGAGGCATCAAATTTGATGAGTCCAAAAACTGTTTTGAGCAACAGTTTTTAAAAATTTTTTATTTATTTTTATTTTTTAATTTAAAAAAATTTTTTAATCAATATTTTTTATTATGGTTTTGTGGGGTACAGTTAAGGGTTAGGTGTACAATTACGTTTCATTCAGGCACCCTGTTGATAAGAGGTGTTTCCCCATCCCCAGACAGATATTTGCTACTGTTAATCCCATCCCCCCCATAGTTTCCCAGTACCGTCAGTCATTTTCTTATAGTATTACATTGGATGTTCAAGGTCCATTATATGAGTGAGAACATGTGATACTTGGATCTTTGTTTCTGTGAGAGGTCACTCAGTATTATAGACTCTAGTTCCATCCAGGTTGCTGCGAAATTCATGATTTTGTTCTTTTTTATGGCTGTGTAGTATTCCATCGTGTATATGTACCACATTTTTTAAATCCAGTCCTCTTTTGATGGGCAGCATGGTTGTTTCCAGGTTCTTGCTATTGTGAACAATGCTGCGATAAACATACGTGTGCAGGTATCTTTTTGATAGAGTGATTTGAGTTCTTCAGGGTATATTTCCAGTAGGGGGATTGCGGGGTCATATGGGAGGTTGATATTTAGAGCTTTTAGGAATCGCCACACTGCTTTCCACAGAGGCTGCACTAGTTTACACTCCCACCAACAGTGTAGAAGTGTTTCCTTTTCGCCACACCCTCTCCAGCAGCTGTTATTTTTTGAGTTGTTGATAATTGCCATTCTGACTGGAGTTAGGTGGTATCTCAGTGTGGTTTTGATTTGCATCTCCCTGATGATTAGTGAGGTTGAACATTTCTTCATGTGTTTGTTGGCTGCTCGGATGTCCTCTTTTGTGAAGTATCTGTTCATCTCTTTTGCCCATTTTATAATGGGGTTGTTTGTTTTCTTCTTTTCAGCACGTTTGAGTTCCTTGTAGATCCAGGATGTTAAGCCTTTGTCAGACCTGGTGTTGGAAAATATTTTTTCCCAGTCTGTAGGCTGTCTCCCTGCTCTCTTGATGGTTTCTTTGGCCTTGCAGAAGCTTGTCAGTTTAATAAGGTCCCACTTGTCTGTCTTCTCTCTTATGACTTGTGGGTTTCGGGTTTTGTTCAGGAATTGGATGCCAGTTCCGATTTCCATGAGGATATTTCCTTCATTTTCTAAGGTTCTTATGGTTTGAGGTTTTACATTTAGGTCTCTGATCCATTTGGAGTTAACCTTTGTGCATGGGGATAGATAGAGGTCCTGTTTCAATCTTCTGCATGTGGTCAGCCAGTTTTCCCAGCACCATTTACTGAATAGGTTCTCCTCTCCCCAGTGGCAGGTGGTGGAGGCCTTGTCAAAGATAAGTTGGTGGAGAAATTGAGGTTTTGCCTCTGGAATCTCAATTCTATTCCATTGATCTATATGCCTGTTCCTATACCAATACCAAACTGTTTTGATGATTGTAGCTTTATAGTAAAGTTTGAAGTCTGGTAATGTGATACCACCTGCTTTGTTTTTTTTTTGCTGAGGATTGTTCTGGCTATTCTTGGACATTTGTGTTTCCATATGAGTTCCTGTGTTGTCTTTTCTAGGTCTGAGAAGAATGTTGCTGGTAATTTGATGGGTATTGCATTGAATTTGTAGATTGCCTTAGGTAAGATGGACATCTTCACAATGTTGATTCTTCCAATCCATGAGCATGAGATATTTTTCCACTTGTTTGTGTCATCTTTGATTTCTTTGAGCAGCGTTTTGTAATTTTCATTGTAAAGGTCTTTCATGTTTCTGGTTAGGAAGATGCCAAGGTATTTCAATTTTTTTGTGGCTATTGTGAATGGAATTGTGTTTTTTATTTGGGTTTCTGTTTGTTTATTATTGGTGTAGAGAAATGCGATTGTCTTTTGTACATTTATTTTATATCCTGAGACTTTGCCAAAGGCCTTTATCAGTGTAAGGAGGTTTTTGACAGATTCTCTTGGGTTTTCAAGGTACACAATCATATCATCTGCAAAGAGAGATAACTTGACATCCTCTTTTCCTATTGGGATACCCCTGATTGCCTCCTCTTCTCTGATTGCTCGAGCCAGGACTTCCAATACTATGTTGAACAGGAGGGGTGAGAGTGGGCATCTTTGTCTTGTTCTAGTTTTCAGGGGAAATGGTTCCAATTTTTGTCCATTTAGGAGTAGAGCAACAGTTTTTTGAGCATCTCAATAAGTATATTACATAAAACAAGAGAGCTCTCTGAAGGTGACTGAAACTTAAACATGTAAGAATAAATACACAATTTTTTATAAATAAAATTTGGGTTTCTTTGGATCACCCCTTTGCAGAGTTGCTGGTACATTGTAGATATTTACCGGTGTTCACTTTAACCCCTGTATTATTCCTATGCTCAGTAGACATGGATAGACAGATGCTTTTTCTGAATTTGCAGTCTAGAGTAGGCTTAAGCAATCCTGCCTCAGCCTTCTGAGTAGCTGGGTTTACAGGCTTGTTTATTCTCATAGTTCATCTCTTGGCAGAGAACCCAAGACATAGGTAGGGGAAGAGATCAATGAATGTTGCTGTAGCTAATGTTATTCAGAAGGAGGTGGGTAGCATTCAGCATACTGGTTTTTCATAATAACTTATTGTAGATACTGAATTTATCTAAGCCTCTTTAAACATAAACACATTTTTATTTTGGCCCAGTATACTTCCTGGGGTTAGAAATATGGTTATTGCAAGGAATGCCAAGTAATTGCTTTGACTGTTCTTAATTACTTCATCAAATACCACTGGTTGCCCTGTTTTAATGGCAAGATTGGGGAATGTTGGCAAAAGGGTGCTCTCTAACTAGAAGGCCAGGGAGTGGTTTGTGGTTTGTGTTTTAAAGGTGAGCCTGATTAGAAGCCTCTGTTAACTTTTTACCTACTCTTTTTTAAAACAATTTTTTTATGTATATATTTATTTACTTTTAAAAATTTAAAGATGTGGGTTACAATTTAGGATTAGGTACATGAGTAGTCAACGTTCAGGTGAAGTTTGGGCCTCCCATTCGTCCTAACAGCCCTTCACCTGGTTGGGATCAGCTATCCTTATTAGTGTTCTGTGCACCGCCCCCCCCAGTCAGATCATTCTACAAAAAAGATAACTGTGCATACATGTTTACTGAAGCACTATTCTCAATAGCAAAAACATGGAACCAACCGTGCTGTCCATTGAAAGTGAACTGGATAAAAAAAAATATACATATACATGATGGAATATTATTCAGCTACAAAAAAGGACAAAATTATGGACTTTGCAGCAACTTGGATGATTTTTACCTACTCTTTTTTTTTGAGTTGGAGTCTCACTCTGTCGCCCAGACTGGAGTGCAGTGGCTGCTCCCAGCCACCGCGGCCTCAACCTGCTGGGCTCTGGCGATCCTTCCACCTCAGCCTTCTGAGTAGCTGGAACTACAGGCGCGCGCTACCACACCCAGTTCATTTTTGATTTATTGTAGCGATGGAGGTCTCGCCAAGTTGCCCAGGTGAGTCTCGAACCCGCGGGCTCAGGCAATCCACTCACCTCAGCCTCCCATAAAGTAACTTACTGAGTTGGTGGGTTGGGACCCAGTGTGAATTGGGGACATGTCACAAATGTCTGGTATGAGCCTTGTGTGGTTCCTCTGCCTACTCAGTGTGAATGCTTGTACTAATGAATTTTGGGGAAGCACAGTGTCCTAAAAGACTTCTTTAGTATTAGCTGTCATAATAAAAATCCATGACTTCCAGGAGGGCATGCTGGATCCTGGCTGGTTCCTGGTATTTGTCCCTAAATACCAGCCCACTGATTGTCACAAGAGTACGTTTAGGCAGTTGACTATATTTAATGCTCAGAGTGGTTGTCTTCTTGCCCTTTAATCAATTAATTA